GAGCTACGCTCGCTGGACTCCGCAAACAACTCCGATACCGGCATTGTCACCGCATCCCAAAAACGGGACCGACAACAAAAAAATAATTAGATAAAAATAAAATAAATAAAAAATAAAAACACAAGCATCGGGAACTCGCGCTTTGGGGAAGATAAATTGTCAGTACCACTCTTAGTTCCGCCGACCGGGCCTACGAATGGGCCGACAACAAAACCAAAGGGGATAGCCCTGCCGGGCCCTCAACCCCTCGGTATCTTCAAGAAATGCTCCTCCGCTCTTGTAATGCTGGCTGCTGGCCTCGATCCCGAGATCTGCTGGCTGAAAGTTCAGTACGTTAACCAATAGGGCTAAGCCCAAGCCTAACCCTAGCATACGCGAATTCGTATATCAGTAGTATTCATAGGCTGTCTGGGCCTGTAGTTAATGCACCGAGGCCGGCGCTTGCTCCGCCTTCGAGCCTAAGGCCTCGCAATGCCGTGCTTGGCTGCTTGGGAGGACAGTTACCGCTCAGCTCACCATGCCCACTGCCCCGCCACACTGTGGCCGCGGCCGAGGCTTTCATAGCCCTCTACAACCGTCAAACGAGCGCGCTCTTACCCCCCTTCGGTTGGAAAGACCCCTACTTTTGCTCATGCCATACCAAGTTAAGCTTTCCTCGGCTCCCACTGTCGACACTCATTATAGCTCGACTTAGTACTCGCACACTCCATACGGTGCGGTCTCAAAACGCCACCCTTCCGTAAGTCAGTCGAAAGTTTTCCTCAAAACGCCACCCTTCCGTAAGTCAGTCGAAAGTTTTCCTCTAGCCATAGCTTGGATGGTCTAACTTCGCGCCGGTGGCGACTCCGTTAGTACGTTCGAAGTCTGCGGCCTATGCTACGCTATCCGAACCCCTAGCTTACTTTTAACTTGGACCGCCGAGCGGTCCATCTGTTCACATTATTTAACTAACGCATGCCCACAAAGTGCACGCCCACACACTCACCCTCTGACTGATCCAAGCGTGCACCCGCCACTTCTTGACTTCCAAAAGTCAGTCGCGATCGAGCGAATGCATGCCACTTCCTTAAATTTTATCAAGAGTGTTCCTCCTGCGAGGTGCAAAACTACGCATAATTACCCTTGTAAGGGTAATTTTATCAAAAGGGCCCTAACCGAGACCTCTCTCAAAAACCGGGGCACCTTTAGTCCCTAAAATGGTAATTTTTACCATCTCAAATATCTCTCATAATAACTGCCCACCCTGGTGTCTACGCAGGAGGTTTCAGGTCTTCATCTTGACCCACCGCAGAACGGTCGATCACACCGTATCCACGGCTCATCGCGTTGTTATATAGCAATGATGCCCTCGTTGGTTGCACAACGATAGGCGTACTTACCGACTCTCAGACTCATTCAACCCCACTGACCCCCCCCCTAGCTATACCTCTCCGGGGCCGACCCTTCAAGATTTAACCATTGGTGAGTCGTGGTCCCGCTGCCAGGTTGCGCCGGTCAGCGGCCCTCGCTGGGAGTTAGGTTCTACAGTTCCAGCGATGCTAAGTATAGCCCCTTAGCTTGGCCTCACAAAATATGTCCCCCTAGACTAACCATTGTGGTCTGGCAAATAGCTCTGGACAAGCTCTAGATTCACATACCCTCCCAACCTCGGACCATGTGGGGGGATAGTGTCTCTTTCTTTCTGTGTTCCAGCAACTTTCTCTCTTATCCACAAGGTCGTGCCCCCCTTTACTTTGATCAGAACAGGCGGCGGTCACACGTCTTAGGGACACCTCACAAAAGTTTCCCATCATAATTGTCAGAAAATTACCATCCATAATTCTCACAAAGATTTTGGTCTTCCCTCGTCAGACTTTCACTCATACATACAATTTTCTCATCATTATAGCAACTCATTTGAGTGCTCCCTCATAGTTCCACTCCTATATATATGTGGAGAACCCAACAGCCATTGAGTCCCCTCCTCTCGTTTTCTTTTGACCACACAAAAGACACAACTTTTAGTTGTGACCTCTCCATTTATCACCACTCAAACCCTTTTGAACTCAATACATAATTCCTTCTTCCAAACAGACGTGAGGTGCACTCTCGTTCACTGTACTTATGACTTTGTCTGTTCTAATGATAGATATGCCTAAGTACAGAGGAAGATAGTGCAGATCAGGTCATTTCCACAACATTTATTCTCGTCACAATAATCATTCATATGGGCAAGTCCACAACTGAGAGTGAGCGTGACACACCACACAAAAAATAAAGAAGTCTGAGATTCGCACAAATACACAGAACGCGGGGACCTTGCAAATAAGCAAAGGTTTCTGTCTATATCGAAAAAATATCGTACAAAAGAAATCAAATATCGTACAAAGTACCGGGGTATCGTACCAAGTGCCACAGTATCCAACCAAGGATCAAGGTACCTGAAAGTAAAAAAGGAAAAGAGAGTCAGAGTATCCACACCTCACATCACTCGTTCCTCTGTTTGACTCACCCTGCTCTAAAAGAGAAAGAATCATAAACTCACACAAAAGCACTACCTAGAGGCTAGAAACACTCCACACCACACTAAAAAAGAGAAAGGAAAACCGACGTAGTCAGTGTCACACTCAATATTATCCTATGTACACTAAGTCTGAAAGTCTATATGCGGAAGTAAACATCTCTGTAATGACTCAATTAACTGATGTACATAGGCGTGATCCAATCCTCCATGTGTTCTCCTATATACAGTCATCCATCAATAGTGAGTCAGGGATGTTCTACACATGTCAGAACCTAGACTTTTCCGGACCCTATTCGTAAATCCTACTCCTGATCACTCATGTCCTCCTGCAGTTGCCTATATAACTGCGCCCGTATCCCATCACGAGTCTTCAGGATCAGGTTCCCATCTCTGTCCCTGCGCACGCCAGATGGATCCCATGAAAATAAACCATCGGCCTCATCCTTGAGGCTTTTGGGACAGGTCTCTTGTGGGCTCTTGCCTCTTTTGCAGTAGAAGCATCTTCCAAACTTCTTCTGCTCCATCTTATCAGCTGCATGGGAGGGTACAGAAGAGGGGGCTGCTGTGGCCTCGCTGGTGACCTCCTGCTGTGGGTACTCTGGGGGAATGGGGCATGTTGCTCTGTCATCTGTTTGCGCCATCTGCTCACTCACTCGCTCCTCTGCCCCGGATCCAGTGGCCCAAGATCCCAGTGCATCCTCCAGACCTGCAACCAGAGGCATATCCTGAGGTGGTGGGGTCTTCTGAGAGACCTCCCGCTCCTCCCTCTCCTCAGCCTCAGCCATGGCCTGTCCCACACTCTCCTGAACCTCCTGTCGCCCCACAGTCTCCCCCTGAGTCATGGGAAGTGCAGCCTCATCCATCGCATCCTCTGCTAGTGGCCTCGCCTCATGTGTCAAGACTGTGGGCATCCTCCACTCAAACCTCCCAGTCTCTGACCCCGTCCCTGCTAGAGCCTCCTTAGGCTGCAACATCTCCTTATCTAGTAGGGGGATTTCCTCATCCTTCTGCTCGTTTGCCCTCTCTTCCACCTTCTGACACTTGAAGGCCTCCTCTGCAGGCTGCTTCCTGATCTCAAACCCCTGGACCTCTGTCCAATCCACCACCGTAGTCGGCGCCTATTGTACACATTTGGCCTCAAGATCCTCTATCCTTTTCTCCCACTTGGTTTCCTTTGCCTGAAAAATATTATGTTGTACCTGCAAGTAGGTCCTCAGGGTGTCGTTGACTTTGTTCAGGGTCTGGTTGACCTGTCTGATGGCCTCGTTGCCTGCCCAGGCCTTCTCTACCTCAGTCTTCATGGCTTCCATCTTCTTGTCCTGTCTCTCCAACTCCTTNTGGTTGACCTGTCTGATGGCCTCGTTGCCTGCCCAGGCCTTCTCTACCTCAGTCTTCATGGCTTCCATCTTCTTGTCCTGTCTCTCCAACTCCTTGAGATCACCATTTCTTTCTGCCAGTCCATTTTCTGCTCATGAGACGCCCGCGCCACCCTTGTCAACCTCTTCTCCATCTTTTCATCAGAAGTCTTGGCCGTCGCAAAGCCTTCCTTCATAAGGCCCTTCAGGCTAATCAAGTCTGTAGAGACCAGCTTAACCCCTATCTCCTGATGTTGCTCTCTGGGTCTYCCTGCTGCCTCCAACAACTTATCAAAGTTGTCCCAAGCCTYCGTGAAAAGAGGAGTCTCATCGTCTTGAGTGGGTGAGTCATTTCCCTCTCTGTCTTCTAGTATCACAGGCTGCTTTCCCTGCTCAATTTTTTCGTGCAGCTCCGCCATGTTCTTGAGTCTGATTAGGACTCTGATTTCTCTCTCTATTGCTGCTCTCTCTTCCTTGNGCTTTCCCTGCTCAATTTTTTCGTGCAGCTCCGCCATGTTCTTGAGTCTGATTAGGACTCTGATTTCTCTCTCTATTGCTGCTCTCTCTTCCTTGTCCTGTTCCTTCTCTCTTGCAGCCTGATCCTCATCCTGTCCCTGACCCTATGCCCTATGAGACGTCTCTGGCTGCATGTCTGGCCTAGGAGTGACCTCATGTATCTGAGCAGGCTGAGGAGGTATATCTGATCCCTCTAAGGGTCCTCCCCTTTGGGTCCTCTCTGCAGTCTGCTCCTCTTTCTGTTGAGTCCTGCCAATATGTTGGTCCTCCCGTATCTCCTGCCTCTGGGGCCTGTGCTCTCTCCTCTGGCCATCCCTCGGAGCTCCTGAGGTCATGCCCTGCTCAGAGGTTCTCCTCTCTGCAGTTTCTGGCTCCTTCCTTTTTCTTTCCATACTCCTTCGCTCATCAGCCTGACGTGCCGGAGTATAGTGGTTCCAAAGCAATTTCTTGCAATGGCCCCAGTTCTGGGCAGGCTCCACAATAGATCTGACGAACGGCCTGAGGTGTTCCCTCACAAACAGAATAAAACCCCTCACCCTCTGGCTTGGTGGCTCATTGATGCTATCTGCAAACTCGTCGTAGCCCTTCAGGAACTCCCACAGGTTAGTGGCATCGAAACGAATGGGTCGTTCATCTCTTCCTAGCGGCGATGGGTGCACGCCCTCCATCTTCTGCTCAAAATCCTGCCAGGTCAATGACTCCCTGACGAAGTTGGCAAGGGGTTGTGCCCACTCGCCTGCTCCTCACACCTCCCGCCAACATCCTGCTACTATCCCATCCAAACTCATGACCGTGCCTCCTGAACCCAACCATGAACAGCTCAACGTTGTCTCCTGTATAAATGGGTGGCATGTCCTCTCGCCTGGCCCTCACCTGCGCCCCCTGTCTGGTAACCCCCAGAGAGGTTTCCAATGGCCCTGCCCCTCCCCTCCCTCTTGGCATGGCTGCCCAAAAACTGGTGTCAAGCCTGCACAACAAGGAAGAGCCAGACAAAAGCACACAGAGGGTAAGCAGGTTCGGCAAACAAAACAGGAGACAGACATTCCCCTCCCATATCTACCTTAACTACCTATACATACATGTGTAAATACACGTATATAAATCTATCTTAATACTATACTCTATCACACCATTTTACTGAGAAACATACACAATTTTTTCATATATATATCTATCTAGTAATACTTAACAGAAAGGGATTCTAAACTGTGGGACCCATGCTCACCTCGTGTCGAGCGACAAACTTCTTCAACCTCGAGCCTGACACCCAATCTTTCCAGGCAGTCCTATTCAGCTCTTCAATCTGGTATGCCCCATGCTCTCCACTCCTCACGACCCTGTATGGTCCTAACCACCTTTTGTGCAACTTTCTCGACCACTGCTTCTCTAAGGATGAATCGTATAGTAGCACAAAGTCGCCCACCTTGAGAGGCTCCTTCCTTACCCTTGCCATCTTATCCCACATGAACTTATCCCTCTATCGGCTGTCAGCCACCTTACTCGCCGCACTTTCAATTTTGTTCACTATGGCATTAATCTGACGAGCCCTTAAGTTTAGCAGTTCCTCAAATGACAAGTTTGTCTCGAGGTCCTGCCGCCTCCAAGTCTTTAGGAAGCTTTCGATAGGGAAGGTCGCATGTCTGCCATACCACAACGTTGCTGGCGCGTAGTTGGTGCTTCTTCTGACAGTGATGTTATCCACGAAGAAGGTTACCCTTAGGAAGTTAGGCCACTCATTTGGCCTACCATTCGTCCACTTAGCGAGGAGATTCGTAATCGTACTATGACCCCTCTCCACAGGTGCATTAGCTTGAGGGTGCGCCGCAGTAGTATACTCTGCGATCACTCCATACCCTCTCAGCAGTTCTTTCACCTCAGCACAAGTGAATTCGGACCCTCTGTCCATTACGAATCTGAAGACAAAAGGATAGCGGAGGTAATACTCCTCAATGCATCGAGTCAAGATCTCACCAGTTTTTGTGCGTATGGCTCTGCCATCTACAAAACCTGAGAGGTTGTCTCGTGCATCGAAGATGAAGTTATATCCTCCTACTCCCTGCGGCATTGCCAGTAAGTCCAAATGTATGATCGCCCCAACCTTGCGTATTGCAGCGGGCCTTCATCTGCCCTGGCCTACAGCCAGGGCCTATTTGGCTATTTGCCAGTTCGGCCTGTGGGACCAGGCCGTGGGCTGACCCCACAGGCCGTATATTGTTTCAGTCCAGTCCAGTCCCGCCCGGTACCACGGTCGGTACCAGGCCAGTCCAGTCCAGTTCAGTCAGTCCGCTGGGGGTATACCCCAGCTGCAGTCTGTTTTTCGTGATTCTTCACTTTCGCAGATCTTGGAGTACTTGCGTGTGGAGTCTGCGTCGGACCTGCGCTGTCCCCTCCAGCT